GCAGTTCAAGTGTTTGTGTGATGCAAGGGAGTTGCATGAGTATTTCATGAAGTGGACGTGGCCGAGTAAACACCACTCAGCCGCAACTGTATGGGAGACTGGTGAGCTCCAAGCAGGTGCCTCAGAAGAGATCTCTGCGTTGCCTGTTTTGTGCAGGTATATTCGGCAAGTAATTGCCAAGCATCCTTCATCGGATCAAGTGGCCCCCCAGATCGCAAGTATGCTGGCATTGCAAGATGCCGTCGACTTAATCATCGCGGCGGCGCGGCGGCTTCCAGTCACGACCGCGCAGATAGAGTCAGCGATCGTGAGACATCTTCGGTGCCATCAGGACGCACATGGTGAAAGCTATTGGGTGCATAAGCACCATGTGGCAACCCATTTGCCAGAAATGTTTGAAAAACATGGGTCGCTCAGTTGCTTTGTCCAGGAACGCAAGCACAAATTCGTAAAACGTCTCGCCAAAGACCACATGTGCAAGAAGGGGCCAGAGAAGGCACATGGCCCAACTCACTGCGCAGCACGCGCACGATTTAAAGACCATGCGTGTTTCACCTGGCTTAGTCGACCCAACGAAAGCAACGCCGAAGCTGCTGAATGCGTTGAAACGCATGTGCCCTGGGACGCAGACAGCCGTCTCCAGCATCGAAGCCATGACAGATTTCGGCCGCATCAAGCGCGGTGATATCGTACTTCTGGGGTCGGGCGGGATGCACGCAGCAATGCAAGTGTGGTTTCACGTGAAATGCGACGATGGCGAGTCGCAGGTGCTTGTCCAGCAGCTTGCAACTAAGCGTGTGAACGCCGCGGAAGGTTTTTCCAGACACATCTTTTTAGATGATACAGACCCTGTTCTGATGCCTCCGACCTCGCTGAAAACTCCTGTGATTTACAGGAAAATAGAGAACGACATCACGTGTGTTTGGCCAGTAGAATACAAATCGCGATGTTGCTAGCATGATGCGCTGCGGACCGTCGCGTTTGCCCCAGGACGATAAAAAAATCTGAAGGCCCCTGAGCAGTTCCAAATCGACGAAGCGCTCAATCATGATGCCCCAATTTCCAACTACATGAGATGCAAAAACACAACATAAACAAAAAAACATCTCACTGGCCAAACCTAACTAGCTATAACTCCGTTAATAACAATTAGAAGTTCCGCTAACTGTTACTAACTACGCAGGGCCTTCAGGAAGCCGACCTCGTCGACCACCGGGGCGGCGTCGCTGACGAGGTTGACCGCCCCGGCATCATGGAGACGCCTCGCCAGCGCTGCATAGCGGCGAGGGTCTCGAAGGCTGGGGTCCGAGTAGGGCTTCTTGAAGCCAGCGCGCTGCTTTCGCCGCAAAACTTCGGTATTTGGCAAGACCTTGCACGAGATATCGCGATAGACGGAATCGAAAACCTCGGCGCCCAGAAGCCGCCCCAGCGCCAGGGGGTGGTTATCTGGAGGAGGCAGCGAGAGCCGGGAGATGCCCATCGCCTCCGCCTCCGTCGACAGCGAGCCGTCGTAGGACAGCGCGGCCTGGAGATCCTGCAGGGCTGCCAAAAGCTGCAGGTCGCCCGGCGGGGGGCCCAGCTGGGAGACGGAGTCCGCGATCCGCGTCAGGCACTGCTGCTGCGCGAGCGTCGCGCCAGCCCGCGGCAGCGAGCCACCCTGCACCCCAGCGCCGCTGAGGCCGTTGAGCGCCTCGACGGCCCGCCGCGCTAGCCAGGGCGCGGGCGCCGCGCGCCGCTCGCGCCTCCGCGCGGCTCGGGGGCAGGCGCCCGCGGCCAGCCCGCCAGGGTCGGCGGCGCCGGGCACTGGCAACGGAAAGAGGTCTCGCTGCCGCTCCGCACCCGGGCCGTCGAGCGTGCCATGTACACCCTCGGCGTCACAGATAGCCGCCGAGATGGGCCCCGATGCCGAAGCGCCCGGGGGAGCTGGGCCACAAGGCCCCCCCGGGCATGAAAGAGTCATGCCTTGGCTCCGCTGGCTTGGCCCAGCGGCGGCCTTCGCCCCCCCCCGCAGCTCGCGGGCGTTCTTTTTGATATGGCTAATGCGCTCGAGCTCCTTGCCGACCGCGCCCAGCAAAGCGGGACGCGCCATGCTGCTCGGGCGGCTGGACGGGCCCGTGCCGCCCATGAAGGCTGTGACCTCCTCCACCGGCAGCTTCATATGCCCGGCGCCCTGCCCCCGCTGCTTCTCGTCCCAGAAATGCATCTTCCTCAGCAGCTGCATCTTCCTCAGCAGCCGCTCGACGCCGAGGAGGTGGCCCGCCCTCGCGCAGCAGCCACGCCACGCACCAGCCAGCGGACCGGGGCTGCAGGGTGAAGTTGGGGTGCGCCACCTCCACCGCCGCCTCGGTCACCGCGAGCCAGCTCCGCGCCAGGCGAGCGCCCGGCGTGCGCGCCAGGATCCCGGCGTCGGCCCCCCTGGCGATGAAGTCGCCGCGCCGCCAGTCCTCGAGGAGGAACGCCATGGCGGAGGCGCCGCCGACGAGGGTGATGGTCGCCCTTCGGCCCGCACGCGCCGCCAAGATCGCGCCGCCGATCGGGCCGACCTGGCCGACCGAGCCGTAGGCGAGGCCGCCCGCGTCCTCGGCGAGCACCCACGAACAGCCCGCCGGCGCCTCGCCGTTCACCCCGAGCGGGGCGCCGCCGTCGTCCTTCCAGGACGGTCCGGGAGGAGCGCCGACGGCCGGAGGTGCGCCCGGCGCAATGGGGACGCCGGCCGCGGGGCCGGGCGCCACCACGGGGAGCGGTCCGTCAGGAGCCGGCGGCCCGACAGCAGCCGCCGTGGCGGCGGCGAGCCCGGCCGCGGGCGGGCCGGGGACAGCCCCCCCGGGCGGCGGCACAGGTCCCACGTGACGGCGGCCGGCGCGGCCGCAGGCGCCACGTACCCCGGCAGCAGGCCGCCCGCCATGGGCACCAGCGTGCCCCCCGGCGGCACGGGCATCCCAGGATGGCGGCGGCCGAAGTCCGCGTCGGCCTCCGCGATGGCGGCCGCCAGCCAGGCCGCCTCGCGCGCTGCCGAGGGGGCGTTGCGGAACCTGTAGGTGGAGCCGGGATCGATCTCCGGCGGCGGCGGCCACCTCGAGGCCGAAAACCGCACCGCCGAGATGCATGTCGGGCCCCGCCATCAGCAAAGTCTCGGCGTAGACCATGTCGTCCAGGGTGACGATGACGACGTCGCTAGTAACAGCCAACTGGCCCGCCACCCTCCTCTGGTGGAGCAGCGGCGCGCCGCCCACGTTGTACAGGACCCACGCCCACGCCTCCGCCATTGGGCCCCGCGGCGAGAGCAGCGAGTGGTGTCGCCAGCGGCGGCTGCGTCCCGATCGAGCTGGCGACCGTCGCGGACCGGCCCCGGTCCTCTCCAGCACGCCAGCGCGGCCCCCACAGCCAGAGCGCCGTGAAGGTGTCGAAGGCCCCGAGCGACGCGCCTGCGAGCGCGGCCGTCCCGCAGGCGAGGGCGACGGTGCCCGTGGTCGCGCCCACCGATGCTCCAGGGCACGGCGGGCAGGAAGGGCAGCTGAACCCCGGGCACGCCGGACACGGCGGGATCTCCACCGCCGGGCAGCCCGCGACCCAGGCCTGGAGAGCGGGGGCGCCCCAGTGGTCGATGAGCCCTGCCAAGCCCGCGGGAAGCCCCAGGAAGGCCCCGGCCATGCGCCGCGGCCCCGCCGCGGCCCCAAGCTCGAGAGCCGAAGGCTATTGTAGAGAACGACGCATTCTGCATTCGGCCTCTCACTCCCCCTCTGAAGGCATTCAACTTGAATAGAAAGGTCCATAATCGTCATTAGTAGCAGCAGCAACATCATCATCATCATCATCATCATCATCATCATCATCATCATCATCATCATGATCCTCATCATCATCATCATCATCATCATCACCACCACCACAACCATCATCATCATCATCAGCATCATCATCATCATCATCATCATCATCATCACTAACATTATCACTGCCCTTGTCAGCATCACTACCACAATCATCACAACAATTATCATCATCCACATCATCATCAGCACCAGCAGCATCATCATCACCTTCACCCTCACCCTCATCATCATCCTCCGCAGCGTCATCATCATCAGCAGCATCAGCAGCAGTATCATCATATCCCTCATCATCACCATTATAATCACCATCACCATCACCATCACCATCACTATTACCATCACAATCATCATCATCATCATCATCATCATCATCATCATCATCATCATCATCATCATCATCATCATCATCATAATCATGATCATCATCAGCATCAGCATCAGCATCAGCATGAGCATGATCATGAGCATGATCATGATCATCATCATCATCATCATCATCATCATCATCATCATCATCATCATCAGCAGCATCCTCATCCCCTCATCCAGCGGCGCGCCCCCTGTCGGGTGTTTTTGTTACCTTGTGTCGGATGTTTTTTTCCTAGCGCATCCGCGTCTCGTGCGGTCGGCTGGTGCCAGGCGGCCGAGTGAAAAGCGCCCCGAGGGACGTTCGGCAGCGCCCTGCGGCGCGGCTCAGCAGATACTCGCAGACCTCCCGCCACCTGAAGGGCAGGACCCCCCCATACTCCTTCCTTTCCCTGAGATCCTGGCCTCATTTGTTCGAGCCTGGCGTTTCCGCTCAAGTTCGGGCCTCAGGACCCTCACAGATCGATCAGCCGCGAAAAATGGCGCAGAAAGATGGATCCGGCGCAGAGTGTTGTTTCACGATGTTGCATGTTTTTCGAGATGTCGCATCTCAGGGTCCCTCCCTCGCGCGTGGCCGAGCGCGCCACAGGTCCTCGCTGGTCCAGCTCGCAGCGGCCGATGCACAGGGTGTCAGAGCCGCAGCTGTCCCTCCCCCCAGTCTTCCCTCCCCTCCCTCCCCCCTCCCCCTCCCGCAGCATTGCTGGATCATCCCTCCCTCCCTCCCTCCCTTTCTCCCGCAGCAGAGCAGGATCCTCCCCCCTTTCCCTTCTCCCTGCCTCCATCCATGCCTCCCTCCCTCCCTCCCTCCATGCCTGGACACGCCTTCGCAGTGCCAGCGCCCACTCAAAAAAAGGATAGGCCTCTTCCACCATGCCCGCAGCGCCAGCCCGTCGGGCCGCGCCCCGCGCGCGGCAACCCTCCGCAGGGCCTCTCGGGGCCTGCGGCTCTCGCCCCTGTGGGGCGGGGGCGCCGGCGCCTCCCTTCGAGAGCGCCGGGGCCTCTCCAGAAGTCTCTCGACTGCCCCGGGGACGCCACGGGGCGGCCGGTTTTCGCAGGCGGTGCGGAGCCTCTGCTCCGCGTGTCGCGGCGGCGGCCCCTGCGGCACGCTGCGCCCTGCAAGCGGATAGCGCGTCGCTCCGCCCCGCGTGGCAGGAGGCTGGGAAAGGCTCGGGACGTCGACGTGGTCAACGTTTGTCGCGCCGAAACCTGGCGAGCCAGAACCAGCGGCGCGACACGCTAAGCAAACGTTCCTGGCCGTGTTCCCCCTACTGCTTCCATGCACCTCGTCGATCTACGGGTCTCTCGGGCTGTCCGAGCGGCGAGGTCAGAACTGCAGCTGCTGGTCGCCGAACGTGCCCGTCCGCGCCGTTCGGCATCGGAAGCTCGTCTGGATCTTCACAGCGGCGTCCTGGCGCTGCCTGAACTCCTTTCTCGCGGTGTTCCCCCGGAACGCGGCCTGGATCCCAGCCGCGGCGGCCTCTGCGCCGTTCGCCCCGAGCATGAGGTAATGCTCCACGGGCAGGTCCGCGAACTCCGCCGCGGCATGGGCGTCGGTCACGACGGCCTCTGCCATCAGGGAGAAGTCTACGAAATCAGGGGAGACGTTTGTCTTGGTGCTTCTGGAAGCGTGGGCGTCCCATATGGCCTTCAGCTGCGCCTTCGAGGGCGTGGGCCTTACGCCCCTCATGATTGCGACGAAGCCGTCCAGGTCCATACCATGCCGGAAGTGGTTCGCCCACTTGTCCCCGAGGCTCGAGGCTGCATTCCTCGAGCCCGTGGGGAAGTCGTCGTCGTCGCCGCCAGAGTCCTCCGCCTCCGCCTCATCCTCCTCCTCCTCCGCCGCCACGGGCCGCTGCTCGCAGGCGGTGCCGCGCAGAGACACCCACTGCGCAAGATCCACGTCGGCATACTCAGCCGCCCCGGCGTCCCCGCCAGCCACGGCCTCGCAGATGTTGCAGAAGACCCTGAGGCCCATGGAGGGCGCGCCCGTGCCCTCCTCAGCAGAAACAGACACGGCACAACACACAAACTTTCGGAGGTCTGCGCGGGGCTATTGCATCGGCGCTTCCCCCTCCCCACCCCCACCTGGCGCGCGGAGGGCTCCAGGGACGGCGGCAGGAGGCGCCGCCAGGGGGGCCCGGCGCCGATCCAAGAAATCCACGCAGGCCTCCGAAAGCTCGTGCTTTTGAAATGTCGTTTTCGGAAGAAGAAGAAGAAGAAGAAGAAGAAGAAGAAGAAGAAGAAGAAGAGATGGAGAGTGCGCGACCACTGAACTCCACCACGGTGTGACTACCACAGTAGCGTGAAAAAGAAGAGTGCCTGTAAACCAGGAAGGTTACACGAGCCGACCTGCTATAGGCAAGCTCATGCGAAGAGCTTTGGCCTGGGAGATAAAGACACAAATGGCACGCATGCCTTGGCTCTTGCACGGGGAGGGTGACGATGAGGAGTGGCACTTGGGGGCCGTCATGGGTCTGTGTCGGGGTCTCTTCGTGCCTTGCGGGGGCGGTGTGCGGGGCATGGAGCCAGGGAGATCGACGGCGAACGACGACGAAAACTAAAAGGTTCAGAGCTCTAGAGCACGGCAGCGCAAGAAAATAAACAAGTCGGGGCGGAAGGGGCGCTCTGGCTGGTGGGTGCGGGGGTGCGGGGGGGGCGCGCGGGATGGGAGGGGGCGGTGCTGTGCCGAAATAAAGGGGTCGGGGCGGATGGGGGCGCGCTGGCTGGTGAATGGGGCGATCGATGGAGGGGGCGCTCGGGATCGGGGCGGAGGGTGCGCGCTGGCTGGCGGGTGGGGTGATGCAGAGAGGGCGTTCGGGATGGGGTACGCGGTGCCGTGCCGAAATAAAAAAAGTCGGGGCGGAGGGGGCGCGCTGGCTCGTGAGTGGTGCGATGCGGAGGGGGCGCGCGGGATGCGGGGGGGGGGCGGTGCCGCGCCGAAACTAAGATTTCGGGGCGGAGGGGGCGGTGCCGCACCGAAATAAAGGCGTCGGGGCTGGTGGATGGGGCGATGCAGAGGGGGCACTCGGGATAGGGGGCGCGGTGCCGTGCCGAAATAAAAAAGTCGGGGCGGAGGGGGCGCGCTGGCTGGCGACTGGGGCGATGAGGAGGGGGCGGGCGTGATGCGGGGGGGGCGGTGCCGCGCCGAAATTGAAAATTCGGGGCGGAGGGGGGCGTCCTTTCTTATGGGGGCTTCGCACTGGGGAAAGGGGCTTCTGCGGGGTCGCAGGTCTCGGCTCGTCTTCCTTGCTCACTCTTCGTGCGTATTGCTGCATTCGTCTCGCGCATAGGCGCCCTGTTCCTAGGGTCGGGGTCCAGCCATCCCCGCGCTGCCGCCGGCTGCCTGTCGATGCCCCTGGTCGACGGGCTCTTCTTCTGTAAGCGGTCCTGGCTGTCCCATTCAATGTTGCCAGCTACTCGTCGACGCACCTGCTCGACGCTCATTTCTCCTGTCAGCTGTTCGGCTGTTTCACTGCCTACATCCAGCTATTCGCTGCCATGCATCTGGCCAGCGGTGCTGGCTGCGACAGGTCGCACCTAACATCCCGAATTCCCATCGGGCGCGTCCGCGGCACCTTCGCGGCAGTTCGTGCCGTGCCATTCGTGTCCTGGCACTTCGCCGCTCCTTTTGCGAAGTGTCCCGTCTGTTCGAGGCGGCTGGTCAGCGGCCCTGGCTGCACCGCGTCTCACTCCATCCAGTGTCTCTTCGTGCGAGTCCGTTGCAACCAGGTCGGCGGTCCTGGTGCCCCATTCGTGCCTTAGCACTTCTTCCCTCTGCTGAATTCTCAATCATTTTCGAGCAGCTGTTTCCTCTTTGATCCCCTGCACCCCCCCACTGGCGCTTCAGTCAAGCGGCTGCTTCCGCCAGACTCGGACAGAGACGGCGAGCGACCGTCGGCTCCCTCCAAGCTGCCTCCACGCCCACCCTCTACTCACACACGCACACGCAAACACACGCACACGCACACGCACACGCACACGCACACATACACACACACACACACACACACACACACACACACACACACACACACACACACACACGCGCACACACAAACACACACACACACACATACACACTAACACACAACACACACACACACACTCACCACGCCTCTTCCCGCTCCCCCCTCCCATTCAGCGGAGGGGAGGAAGAGGAGGGCGTGGCGTCCTGAGCCGTGGCGACGAAAGAACTATGTGCCACGCGGTCCAGAGACGCAGCTCCGAGTTCGACGCGCCTTGCGCCCGGCCGTGCGACCGAGCTTCTTCACCCTCTGGGCACTCCGAGCGGCTTAGACGAAGCGGCCCTTGGTTTTGGCGCTTCAGCCGCGCGCTCCAACTTGCCCCCCCGCCGCGTCGTTGGTCCCCATGTTAGGGGCCGAAGACGCCAGTGGGCCAGTTAGGGCCGATGCGATGGCAGCTTGAACGGCGCGCCCCGCCCTGTGGTGGGAACATACTAGAAACTCTGCGTCCTCGGCCAGCGTAGCTCGAATGCCCTCCGCGACGGCGCGATGGAGCTGAGACGACGCCGAAACCAGAAACGAAACAACTTCAGACTCATATCCAATGGCACGTAACGCATTGCCGTCGATGTAAAGGGCGTAATGCATACAAATCAGCCATTCTATCTGGCCCGGACTGCACGGCGCGCTGACGCGCATGGGAGTCGCGGCGAAAGAACAGCCTGCCACGATCCCGAACTGGGCGCACGCGGACACCGTCAAAAAGCCAGACAACGCGATGTGACGGGCCGACTTGTAAGCAATGCAGCACAACGTATCAATTGCCACAAGGAAATCGCGCTGCGCACATCTATCTAACATCCTGTCCAAGTCGGTCGACTCGTAATATTTCGAAAACCCCGCAACGAAGCACGGGCGGCGAGGCCATGAGCGACCCCACCTTCACTGCGGGCCGCCTGCCCCCAGACAGTGTCCGCAACCCCCATGAAACGACCCGCAGCGAACCAGGGTCGACGGCTTCGAGTCTCCCACTCCAAGGCGTAGGGGCGGCGGATCTCCCCCCGGGCCGTATGAGGGCTCCCGAAGAGCCCTACGGGGCGCAGACCAGGGGCCGATTTGGGAACGAGGCGCATCATGACCACGCTAATGTGAGACGGAAGCATGGGGGACAACTCTATAAGTTGCATCAGCACCGCCAGACATTGAACGTTGTCTTCAGAGAGCCACGGCCATTGCCCAATATGGAAGCCGTCGGCCGAAACGGCCGAGGCGAGCTTCTGAGTAACGCGCACCGCGGACGTCGCCGGGAGAGATGGGAGACAAAGCGGGCGCGGGCACGAACCGCTCCATAGGGAGAGGCGGAGTGGCGACGGCCCCCCACAGCGCCTGGTAGGGCCAGCCTCGGCGAAGCACGGCGGCTCAACCCTGCCCCGCTCGCCGTCTACCACGCGGGCGCACCTGGGGGAAGGTCCCGGCAAAACGTTTGGCGCCTGAGCCCAGCCCCATCGCGCCGATTACCCCTTGGGTGCACCGGGGGGCTGGGACTCGCGCTCTGGCGCGCGCTGACTCATGCGTCGCGACGGCAAGGGCCTCGGCGAGAGCCGCTCTGGGATCAGCGGTTCGCGCGAGGTTAGGCCGATCTCCCTCGCGGTTCGACCCGCGGCCCCCACCGTCCCCGAGGGCACCGCTGGCCTCCCCGCATGCAACGCGGGCGCCGGCCTCAGCAGAAACCGGGCGTCCGCGATCAGACGGAAGTGCCGCCCCCAGACGAAGAGTCCGTCGGCCAGCGGGGCTAAGCCGACGACTGACCCCCCCCCGGCTTGCGATTATCCTGAGAGCCGAGAATACGAGCGGCCTCGTCACGGACGGAAGCCTCGGCCGATGCCCCCCCCCCTTTCCGCCCGAGCTACCCGACCCGCGCCCCCCTCCCACAGATGCGACAGCGGCGGAGGCCTGGTCGGCATGGGCAGGCCCAGATGCAGCACCATCGGGGGCCCGGGCAGGCTGCCCCCCGCCCTCGGGAGAGGCGGCGGCGGCGCCAGCCCTGGCAGTGAACCCGCGGCTCCTCGACGGCGCTTGGTGGCCAGGCGGCCCGCCGGCGCCTCGCGGCCCGCCTTGGGCCGCTCCATGGTGGACGCCACGTCCGCGAACAGCTTGCTGGTGGCCTCCTTGAGACCTTCGTTGAGCTGCTTGACCATGGACTGAGCCTTCTCCTCGACGCCCTCCGAGACCTCGAACTCTGCCTCGTCGGGTTCGAACGCGTCGCCAGCGACGATGAGAGAGTCCGAGGGGCCTTGGAGGATGTCCTCGATGCGAATATGAGGAGGGATTCGGCTCGGCGGCGGCGGGCTCGGTCTCGGCTGCAACCTGACGGCGAAGTTCTGCGACGACCCGGAGGCGTTCAGATTCGCAAGCCAAGAACTCTCGATAAGCCTCTGCCACGGCCTCCTTGTGCTCCAACAAAGAGGCCTCGATATTAGAATACACAGTGACCGCTTTGTCGAGGCGCTGCTCAGCATTGCGGAGTTCGTGGAAGGCCTGATGACGCGGCCTTCGATAGGGGCGGCGGGCGGGGGCCGAGTTCGTTCTTCCAACAACTTCTGGCGCCTCTCAGCGCAGTCGCGTCGCCAAGTGCCGTGAGCGACTTGGCAAGCTCCTGCAGATCCTCGTTCGCCACGTCAGGGGGCACCACCAAATCAGAGCTCTGTTGTGCCTGTCCTGCTGGCAATTGGGGGGGGCCGTTCGCGAAGAAGCCAGGTAGCGTCGACGGAGCCCATGCCCCCAAAGAGCCGGGGCCCCAGGCCGACGGCGCGGGGGGCCTCCTCGGGGCCTTGCAGCGCCTGCAGTCGGCGAGGTGCGCGGGGTTGCGCTTGCACGCGCGCTCCGTTCACGCCGACTTCCCTGTCTTGCAGCCGTTGCGTTGCTTCGCGAAGCCACGCGCGGGTCCAGGAGGAAGCTGGAGACATGCCCTGCTGACCAGCAGGAGTAGCACCATGCTGCGCGCCGCGACCAGACTGCCACCGCGGCGGCGACG